ATCGAGCTACTGGTGGAAATAACCGTCGCGGGAGCGGCGGTGGACGCAGTGGACGCGGTGGCCGATCATACGAGAGACCGAACACTCTTGGGAGCTCGGGTGGACGCGATAGTGCGCGCACGGGTACTTCGAATGGCGCTGGTGGCTCGAGTGGAACCCGTGGTCGTGGTAGACGAGGTGGCCGCGGCGGCGACACTATCAACAGAGCTGCGCCTCCATTCAGCGCCCCAGGCCATACACATCACTCCGTTGCTGCACGACCGCCTGGTTCGTGCTTAAACTTAAAATGGGGATCCACAACCCACCAAGTACGAGAGTGCACTCAGCTGAGCTCACCGGCTGAAGCCACGCAACTATTTAAGGCAGTGTGAGAACGGCGACGTTCCAGCCAGGCCATGCGCAAAATCATACTACCAAGCAGCCCACAGGGGTCTGATCAAGGTACCGTTGAAGGGTACGTCGATGGTGTGCGCGTCAAGGCGTCGCTACTGGACTCAGGTGCGGATGCGTCGCTCGTAGCTCATGGAGTGCTGGAGGCACGGAGAAGTCAAGGCGTCAGAACCGAAGTAAGCACGATTCCCTCACCGTCACTAATACCAGCGAGACAGCAGATCGTGGTGACGCGCGCTGCTGTGGTCAAGGAGGTCGTGCTGACGACATCGGCCGGCCCGCTCATGCTAAGGAATCTGCACAGATACGTTGATGAAGCCAATGCCGCTCGGGATCTTACGGTGGGTCGCCCGATAATGCAAGTCGTCGGGTACTCAGCTGACGTTCTACTCGTACGTGCTCGTGACATGCAACAGAAATGGCAGCTTGGTGGGCGCGAGGAAGCCGAGTCTGATCAAGCAATTGTACACGAGACTGGCGAGGAGCCGACGTTGCTCGGTCGCGTTTGCCGGCTGCAAGTGGTAGCGCTTGACCGGGTTCCCTGTGACGCCGAAGTCGAGAGACATGAACCACGACCGGCGACACCAACGATGACGAAGGAGACTCTGGATGCCGTCAATGCGGTGCTGGAGCAACGCGCACGAGATGCCCCCTCCATTGGGCTACGCAAAATTCGTTACGTGCGCCTGAATACCTTACGTTTCGAGTTCGGGAATGACCATCCCGCCCAAGTCGCGCCGCTGCAAGTACGCATCAAACCGGGCGCAGGGTCGACTAAACTCCACGCGCACCGATCTCTAACATAGGACTAAGAGTTCTTGGATCGGCATATTGATAAGAGGCTGGCCAGTGGACTGGTGTACCGGAATCCCTAGGATTAGCTGGGCATCGCGCCACGGATTGTCCGCAGAAGGATCAAGACACGGAGCCCAATGCGTCCCCCAAGGATGGATATTGACACACGGTCAGTGAATGACAAGTCGGACGCGATGCCTTGGCCGAAGCCACTACTGGAGATTATCGTCGGTGAGCTTGAAGGCGCTACCGTTTTCTTCAGGCTGGATTGGTTCCGAGGCTATTGGCAATTGCCCCTGCACCCAGACTCGCAGGAGTATTTTACCTTCGTAACCCATCGCAGTATGTACACTCCGACACGAGTACCCATGGGCTCCAAGGACTCGGTGGCGTACTGACAAGCGGTGGTCGAAGAGATATTCGGCGACCTGATCGGCAATGGCATTTACTGTTGGCTGGGCGACATACTCGACTACGCCCAAGATGCTGAGAGTCTAATGGTGCTGCTGGGCCAAGTGCTGGAGCGCTGCAAGAGGTATGGACTCAAGCTACATGCCAAAAGAGTCAATGGTGTGGGAAGATGACCTCTGCGCACGGCGTGCACAGCTGGCCAAACCGAATTCAAGGTCTCGTGAATAAGCTAATGTCCCGCTCCGCTGCTGACCTACAGCAATTCCTGTGTGTGGTAAACCCTAGAACAAGCGATGCTATTAGCTGGCGCGAGAATGAAGACGAAGTTGTCAAAATGCCTGCTAACCGATGCCGTCTAGAGGGTTGAGGACGAGACGACCATCGAGGCTGTGCGTGCAGCACTGCTGAAAATGGTCTCGATGGCTCACCCGAACCCGGAAAACGAGGTGTGCCTTTACATGGATGCCAGCTAAGATTCCTGGAGAGCCGTCGTCACCCAGCTCCGACCGGAGGAACTACGGCTGCCACTTGAGGCGGAGCAGCACCGACCCTTAGCATTCTTGAGTGGTCGTTTCGTTAGTGCCTCAAGTCGTTGGCAACGATCGAGAATTCGCTATCGTAGAGTGAGCCCGCTGACTCGAGTACCTGTTGTTTCGCCCAAAAGGCTTTTGACTGGATACCGATCAATGCGACCTCGTTTAAATCTTTAGCCTGTACGGGGTGGACAGCACCATGGCACGTTACCAAGCCGACATGCTCCAGCGCATGCGTATCTCGTTGATGGCATTTTGCTACGTTATTGAACACGTGCCTGGCGATCAGAATGTGTGTTGGGGGGGGGGGGGGGGGTTGTTGAGCCGCTGGGGTGCGACGGGTGGTAGCGCAGTCGACCGAGAGACCGTCCGCGTGGTTCGGCTCGCCATTGTCGTGCGTGTCTCGCCGCCGCATGACCCTGACATCTAATGGCCGAGTGAAACGGAGATTCACGACTTGCAGAACGGTGTCCGTACCAAGGTCTTCTCGCTCGTTCTCGAAGACGTCGAGTATGACGAGGAGAGACAACTCCTTATTGGCAAGGGTAATACGGTGTGGAGCCTAGAAGATACCATGGAGCGTCAGTAACGGCTGTGCACCGTTGCACACGCGGGCGCGGATGCCCGTCGCGGAGCGACAGCTACAGCAACGGCTTTGGCGTCATTTTTCTATTGGAAGACTCTCCCGTCTGATGTGTCAACGCTCGTGGCTGGATGTATCTCTATGGTGACTGCCGGTGGTAGGGTGCCCTGACCCCATGGAGAAACGCTCATGGCGACGAAGTCGAGCGAGTTGTTGCACTTTGATTTCATCACGATGATCAAATATGTCCACACTACAAAAAACGTATTGGTACTAAAGGATGGAATGAGTGAATTTGTGGAGCTGGTGGCTTGCGCGGCCGCGAATAGTGACCAGGTCTACACAAGTCTGCTTGATTGATTTAAGCGCTATGGGGTCATGCACCAGTGGGTGTCCGACCAAGAAGCGCATTTCAAGAACCAGCTCATCGACCAACTGCGAGTGGTAATTGGTGCACTGGTGCACACCATCACTTCATCACCGCGTATACGCCGTGGACAAAAGGTATCGTGGAGGTGGTCAACCGGGAGGTGCTCAAGGGCGTCAAGGCGCTGCTATCAGAGAAGATACTACATGTGAAGGATTGGCCCAGCGTGCTCCCGATCATTCAAGCCGCGTTGAACAGCATGCCTGCTGACCGACTTGGCGGTGTATCTCCATTGACGGTTTTCACGGCACTACTAGGCGGCTCGCAGCTACGTGATGTTTTACACCAGTCGGACCCGACAGTGGCGACCGTTTCCTATTTACATGGTACAATGTCAGCTCCCGCTTCGACCTGAACCAAAATCTAAAGCTAATGGTACTCAGGCATTCCGATAATACAATTGCAATCATATTGAAGGTCCATGCCAAAATAAGCTATTGCTACAAAAACTACAACTTAAGAAATAAATAATTGACATCAATAGTAGTGTATTGGAAAATTAACTACTTAGATGTACAGCACTGCACATTACTTTGCGTTCACGATAGCAGCTACAGTGTTTGCGTCCCAGAAAGGCCGATTCATCTTCAGGAACAACACGGTTTCAAGGTGAATAGGCAGCATACGCTGGCGATGGTGGGAAAGAGTATGTTTCGCCACACTAAAAAGACGCTCCACGGTGTTTGACGTCGGCGGGATGAAAAGCACACCATCAAATACCTTCTTTGCACCGCGCCGCTTTTTTCTAGTCGCCAAGACTCTGTCGGCAAAGCCCTGTGGGAGTCCGTGCCTGGTGTCCGGTGTCGTAATTGCGGGTACCGTCTCAAATGGCTGCAACATCAGCTCCTGGTCGTTCGTCAGCTCGTCCACGGCGCCTGACAGGGCTACAACGCACGCTCGCTCGAAGTCCACGTCCTTAACAATATTTGCGTCGGCAGCAAGATACTTTTTCACAACGGAATGCTTCTCGATGAGCGCATCAAAGATATCGCGCACATCGAGAAGCGTTACGTTGTCGTCTTGAAGCTTCATGGTGGCCGACTGGAAGTCGCCAAGCTGGCAGTAAAAAAGTAGCTGCAGACTTGCTTGGTCGTGAAGGTGTTGGCGAGAGCCATGGTAAGATCAAAAATGATAGACGAGCGCCTCAGGTTCGCGTTTTGAGCGACCGAGCTCCGTATTTACGCAAAACAAAGCAGAAAAAACTAGATTTTACGAAAAAATAAAGTACTTTGTTGTAAATACAAAATAACTAATTGGAAAAAGTCATCCAATTTGTAAAAATCAATAATTAAGTGTAAACTATTGTATTGAAGCAGCAATACAATGATTATTTCGGAATGCCTGATGGTACTGTACTAGTTATTTGAAATGAAAGAATCATTTAGGTTAATCATTTATGAAATTATTGACAAGTACTTCACCCAATACAGTAAAAGATGACACTCGTTGCTACATGTGAATATCACCACTTATTCGATTCTCATTCACTGCTCTCGGAAAATTATCTCAGTGCTGGGTTTCAATTTCCGGAACAAAGTACTGGCTTTGGTTTTAGATATACTGTAGGATGAGATTGATAAACTATATCAATCTTAAGTCTTACGTTGCTTAGTATGTAAATACTTCAGAATCCCATTTAATGTCACGGATGGAGTGTCAGACATTTTCTGCAACTTCTGTTATATGGTCTTACGTTGCGGGAAACGATGACAAAAGGCGCAAATTTTTGTAACTTGGTTCTTCGAATTCGAACTGCACATTAATTGAGCCAGTGTTGTTTTCTATGGCCAAGGTGGATGGAAGGTATCAATATGAAATACCTCAGCTATGGAGACCCACTGTCGCTGCTGCTTTAGCCACTTTAGACGCCTGGGGTGACGGTAGCTGCGTTGGTAGTGGTCGTCGTGGTTGTGTCTGTTAGAGTAGTAGGAGTTGAAGTTGTTGACGCGTCCGCGCTACTTATTATCGCCGCTTCATCCGTAGACGTGATTTCCGATGCACTCGCTAGCTGAGTGTCCGTCATCGTGAAGTAGTGGAATCGAAACTTGTCCTTCCAGCGTCCTACCTTCACCTGCTTCCGACCAGTCCTGACTTCCTGTACCCGATTGTAGCAGAATGTGTGCGCAGTACTTGGCAGGTTCCAATTTGCTCTAAACTCTGGGCTGAAATCGTCCACGCCGAAGTTTTCATCGTACCAGAGACAATCCACGGTTTGGCCCTGGTCAATGGCTTCTGCGTGGGAGCTAGTGTTTGTAAGAGCAGCATCGTAGATGTCCTGGAACAAGTTGAAGCTTCGTCCGATAGCCTTTCGCTTCCGATCGGCGGTGACCGGCACATCCACGTAGTTGACATCGAATAGCCTCCTCGTGTGGCTCTTGGGACACGACAAACCCTGATCCTTGAGCAGAACGAAAAGTTCATCTGCTGCGTACGAGTACGAGAGACTCCCCAAGTCGGTACCACTAACGTATTGCCAGTACTCTTTCGGCTGGCTAACGAAGAACTGGCCCAGACGAGGGTGGCTCTCAACAGGGGTTCTGGTTTGTCCCACTGCATTCCAGTACATTGTAAAAGTCGACGTGGACGTCGGGGGCACACCGGTATAATCCGCTTGAGCACAGGACTCAAACGCGTAGTCCCCGTTTCGTTTCTCCGAATCTGTCAGCCTCCGTCCAATCTGACAGTCGAAGTAGAGCTGGTGAATCAAGTCAACTGTAGCGCTGTGTCAAACGAATGAAGAGAAGATTACTACGATGATAACAGGATTTACAGTAAGGAAGACGATGACGTACTGGTGGCTGTAGAAGATGGGGTCTGCCGATGTCGGATACGTAGCTAGGGTGCCCATAGCCATGTTGTGGATGGACTGGTGCAACCCGTAGTGAATGTTCTGAGAGAACCACGCGTAGCCGAACTGGAGGCTGAGATATTTTGCTAGGGACGAGTAGCATATGCCGGATGGGTAGTTCACTAACGACCACGAACCTCGAGGAATGCAACCCGAACAGGAAGATCCACTTATCGTCGATTTCTCACAGAAACTCGTGAAGTTTGCGTACGGTGATGATAAACCGTTGACGCAGTTCCCATTGACGACGAACCCGTTGATCGTTTGGGATGTAACCGGTCCCGAACTGCCGCCCATATCTTTCAGGAATGACGAACAATCCTCAAAAGTAGTACACACGTTGGTCAGGAACTTGGCGTAGTCCGCGAAATAGTCCCAGTATGGGATCGTGATACACGCGAATTTTGTACCGAGACTGCGAAGCATATCCTCGTATGCGAGCAAGTAGCGACGATGCCAAAACATCATTCCACACGTGTTGTGAGCCTCCTTGAAGGATTTTATATCCGAGTGCACCTCCACGAAGAGTGTGTGGTATCCTGTACTCATTGCTGAGGCAATGGCATCGCGATACAGTTTCTTGTCGTCAACAGAGAGCGCGTCCCATGAATAGCGAACACGGGAGCCACACACACCGTTGGTCGGCCACACGTTCGCGTTGATCGAGCTTAGAACCAACGAGAGGGACACAAGGAGTGTGAGGAACTTAGTCTTTACCTGGCGAGGAGCCATGGTGTTGGGAAATGAAGCAAAATCCTAGTCAGACCATTTTTCACGGGAGCTACTTGGTAGTCAGTTCACTGACTCAACACAGCAGTCACACGCACGCCTCAAACCATAGAAGAACGCGACGGCTGAAAAGGGAAGAAGGCAGCATGGAGCTTGCTCAGAAGGCGCCGGTGCTGGAATGTAACTTCCGTAGAGTGCGATTAACATGGTCACTGCACAAGGCGGTGCTGCTGAACTTCTATAGGATCATGTGTATGGGCACAAGAAGGAAAGGCCGAACTCGGGAATCAGAAAGCAACAATTCTACTCATTTGAATGGGGATGGCCAAATACCGAAATGAAAAGAAAGTGTTTCCAGGGGTTACATATTTCAAGGGTCTATTACCGAATTGGTCAGGGTCTAGACCAGAATATTTTTTGTCCAAATTGTGATTAGTGTAGATACAAAAGGATAAAATCTGCGTATCCAGACCATAGAAATAGTGTAAACGGCCCAGGAGGTTTTAGCTAGCCTGCTTCTACAAATTAGCATTTGAACTCTTTTAAAGTCCAAGCAGCCAGATTTCAAAATTTTCACTGAAAAGTTTGCTTCCCATTGACTCAGTAAGCACAGACGTGCGAGGATGCTAAACACCAGCAGCTCAGCGTCCTCCGTGCTGTTAAGTAAGATCGTCAACGAACGGTAGAAATGTTTGATCTTCTTCATCTCCTTGGCGTAAATCCTAACACCAGCACTTATCTTTATCATCTCAGCCAATACGAGAAGTTGCAGCTTCAGTCCTGTGTCCCATTCACAGCCATTCCGCAATGCTGAGACTGAGACGCTCTCGACGAGCCATTGCAGCAGCTTACTCAGCGCATGTGACGGATACTCAATTGCCGTTTTCCTTGCAAACAAGTAGCAGAGCTCTAGCCGTTGCAGCGAGTCCTCTGGAGTTTACTGGGTCGACTGCGAGTACTCTGTGGATGTCTCGTCCTGTACGCCTGCTGCCTTATTCGGCGCCACAACAGCGAGAAGATGTTCTGCCAACGTATCGAGCAGCTGCAAACTCAGCGCAGTGTGGTTTGCAGCGAAAAAATCGTTGTGTGCTGAGAGTTTCCGCGCTGCTTGATACAGATCGGAGGCTGTACCACCACTTAGGGACTTAAGATAACTGTCCACGGCGACCACCATAGCGGATTTGCCCGGCTTCTTACCACGCTTTTCGATAGTCGCTCGACGAACGTTGCGCCGTCGGAATCGTTCATGGCGTTGCTGTAAAAACCGTTACAGTACTTAAAAAGTTCTCACAAATATCAACAAATGTTTGATAATCACTTACTTAAGTAATTCAAATATTGCTATTGTATAAATTAGTTAATCAAGAGGACAGCCCATTTTCATCCATGTTGTGCACAACACAGATAACTGTGAAATGAAAGCAATCTACCTAGGGTTTCCAAACCTATCGCTATTTTCTTGCTCATTAAAAAGGTGGTCACAATTTTACATGTTTGTCACGTCTGCGAGAAGATGCAAATTGAGATTGGTACCACCAAATGGCCAAATTGAGTGACTTTTTCGAGTTGACAGAAAAAATGGCATGGTAGATCAGAATGTATCCGTATTTTACGTTAATAAATTCTGAACCCTGACCCAGACCCATCTGGTATAAGATCCTTTATGGATTCTACCCGGGAATCAGAGAGCAACAATTCTACTCATTTGAATGAGTATGGCCAAATACCGAAATGATAAGAAAGTGTTTCCAGGGAATGACGTGATCTGAAGAGATTTCAAATTGCCTCCCCGAGAGTGTTCTTCTTTTGCAGTTGTTGCGATCTCGACAAGCGCTTCGCATATTGATTGTCATATATTGTCCGCCCATCGATAGGCTGGCAAATTTATTGATATTTCCGCCATCAGAAGGTGATCTCCTGCTTCCAGCTTTAAAAACAATCGGCAAAGGAGATGGTACAACGTGTCTGCTGAATGGGCAAGTCAACACGTACCACCTCTACTTTACTACTGGCAGAACACACAGCGGAAAGCCGAAAAGGTAGACATTCAACGTTGTACCGGACTCGATCTCTCAGTGACACTGAGCGATAGAGTACGGTACAAAGTTAACGAGTCAGTGACGAAGAGATGAAATGCGTTCGTGTGCAGTCTCAGTAATGCAAAATCGAGTGTGAACAATATCGCGTTGCTACTGGCAACAAGTGTGTTACAGGAATCGGAGACGGTTACAATGGACCGAGCACATCAACTTCAATACTTGCATCTACCTCCCCACTACGTTGTCGATTCGATTTAAACCTAGTAGGCGCAACTCTTTCCGGTCGAAGCGTTGGACGTTCCGTCGTGAATCACGGTAGCCTGTCCGAACAGGTCCAGACAAACGCTTGTTCGTGTGACGGTTTTCAGGTTGCTAATGGCTTCGTGCTCTCAAGGTCTCCGATAAACAAAGTGATAGCTGATTGAATTTTACTTGATTCGTTATCGAAGTCAGGGGAGCTTGGGGGAGAGCGCGCCAAAAGAAAAGTGCCGCCCCCGCAGTTCAGACGGATGGAAGCTTCTAGAAGCCTCCACAGCCATCCTACATCTGCCTGTTTATTAATTACAATACTATACATTCCATAGTACTAATAACAACCCATTACAATAAGATAATAATATCACCCAATCGGATACACTCACCCTCCCTCTGGCAACCGCCGCCTCTTAATAGCCTTCATTCTCGAAAAAGCACAGCAGACGGCGAAGTCGACCGTCTCAACAGGGACTCGCTCGAACCGGTGTCATCTTCGCCTACGGGCCTGGCTTCACTGGAATTGAGTGGGTTCCAACCCGAGGCGGTCACTATGGCTTCATCACGCCCGTGTTCTTCCTCTTGTGATCTCTTGGTGGGGCTCCAGTCTACTGCTGGGCTCCGTGCGACTAAGTCACGGCTGGCACGCGCCTCTTTGGCCGGGCCGTCACTGGGAACGGCCACAAACCGTCAGGCTACAGCGCAGTCCGCTTCACCGTCGCCACCCCCGTCACCTCCGCTACCGTCACCTCCGTCGTCGCCGCAGTTACCGTCGCCGCCGTCGCCTTCGTCTCCTGTTGGGTTTTCAGCGGCCTCGCCCGCTTCTGCTCCGTCCGCAGTTTCTCCGCCGCCTGCGCTGAACACCGCGCCGTTATCACCTCCGGACGATGCTTCGGTGGCGTCAGACGTGCCTGGCGTGTCACTTTTAAACCGCTTGAAGGAGCTGCATTGTGGTCCGCTCTTCGGCAGCTCCGATGAAGAAGAAGACGAGGGCGGCTCGTACGGTCCGCACGCGGCGCGTTCACCATCCTCCACTCCCTCAGTGAGCGGCCTATTTGATGATGACAACGATGAGGAGACTGTACCTGCTGGTACCCTTAATCGCTTGAAGCGCAGCGTCGACTCTGGTGACTGGCATCCGTATGCTTTACCGTCAGCTCCGGCGAAGCACCCCGCCCATGGTCGTGTCAATCACTACGACCCGGCGGCACCATGGGATTACTCGGTTCCAGTCAATATTGAGCAGCTGCACGACGTTCGCGGTGAATCTCCGCATCGCTGCTTCCTGGTGGAATGACAGATTTCCCCGCTTCAATGAGCTGGGTATGGGAAGAGCAACTTGACCAACGCTTCGCTCGGCGAATGGATCAAGTGATGCAATGGCGTGACGATCTGTGTCCAGGTGCCTTCGCCTATTATTACAAGAAGCATTTTGCGCGCCGTGATCAGGCTTCTCCTGCTGGAGGATGCTTCGTGGACGCGTTCCGCGCGGCACTTTATCACCTTGGTGATACTGGTCTTGCATCCACGGCCACTGCGCTATGGGTGGATTTCGTGCGTGATCACCCAAGCACTGTCGATGGAGTTTCTCGTGCGGAAGCTACGGAATTCTTTCGCGTTCTTTAGCGCAACGATTTTCCGTTGGATTACGATCTTCTCTTCCAGAGTCCACTTGATGCTTCGTACACGAATGTGGAACGGTTCCAGACGTTTGTCCAAACACTGCGTGAAGGAGTGTATCTCACGAGTATTGGTGATGGCCTCGTCGGACACTGCGTTACTGTTCTCGCGAAGGGTCCAGACACTGCTGTTTCCGTACTGGATGACGTTGAGCTGCCGGTGACCCCGGAACCTTTGACTAACTTGGCGTCTCTCGACACGGTCAAATGGATGGGATTGATGAAGCTGAATCCAGGGTATCGTTGCCGCCGCAGGAAACGAAAGTCCAGGCCAAATCGAAAGAAAGCTCGCCGCGAGAAGAAGCAGCAGAAGCTGTAGGGAATGTAATTTGGGAATACGTGTAGGCTCTCGGGCCCCCTTTACTCCTGCCGTTGTCGTTCATCTTCTTCGCCGTTTCCTTCTCCTGGATGCTTCGAAGTCTCCAATGAGATCCGGGACCTGTGAGAGATTCTCGACTGGCTCCCAAGTAGGTTTCTCCTCACCCACCCACTCCACAAGAAATTGGGTTCGTTGCTTGTGAGTTCGTTTACCGAGAATCCTCTGGATGAGTTGTCCAACTGTACCATCGGGAGAACGACATCATGGGGCCTTGACATCCGAGTGGCGTCCTTGTAAGGCTTCAAAGATCCGGTGTTGAAGACTGGATGAAGTTTGTTTTCGGCTTGGATGTTGAGCTCGTACGCGTGATTATGGATCCTCTTCACTTCCGTATAGGGACCTATATACTTCGGACCAAGCTTGCTTGAGCTGGGTAACCCTGTATGTTTCCGATCCAAGTGTTTCGTACTCAAGTACACTCGGTCGCCAACTTTGAAGACTTGCTCCTCCCGGTTTCGGTCGTACACATCGCGCATTCGCTCTTGTGCTTCCGCTAGTGCTTCCTGACACCGCCGAAGAAGAGCTGCTTGTCGCTCGTTGAACTCAGCACCACGTCGCCTTGTGGGAACCTTACCACGATTGTCCGCCGCAAGTTGAAGCGGGTTTAGTGGGACGTATCCGAGATCAGCTTCGAAAGGCGCCATCTTGATACTACTGCTCACGGTTGAATTCACTGCGAGCTCAGCGTTGGCAAGATGGATATCCCAGTCGTCTTGAACAGGGCCCACGAAGCACCGCAAATATTCCTCAAGTGTCCTGTTCATCCGCTCCGTCTGGCCGTCTCCTTGAGCTCGATGTGCTACTGTCATCTTGAGCGTTGTTCCGATTGATTTGAAAACGTGCTGCCAAAACGTCGAAACGAACTTCCTGTCTCTGTCGGACACGATGCTTGTTGGCATTCCATGAAGTTTCCAGATATGGTCGATGAAGAGCCGGGCAACGCCTTCGGCGTCTACCTTCTTCGTAGTCGGTACAAAGTGACATCGCTTTGTCAGTCGGTCGACGACGACCAAGATGGAATCTACTTCTCGTTTTGTTCGTGGTAAGTCAGTGATGAAGTCCATCGAAATCGATCTCCACCGTTCGTCGGGAACACGTAATGGTTCCAGCAGTCCCGGTGGCTTCGTTAGCCTCGGTTTGTTCCGTCTACAAGGCTCACAGTCGGCAATGTACGATTGGATTAACTTCGACATCTTGGTCCAGTACCACCTCCTAGCCAGTGTCAGGTACGTCCGCTCCGATCCCGGATGTCCCCCGTAGTTGGAGTCGTGACACTCACTGATGACCACCTGCCTCAACTTCACATCGTTGGGCACTACGATACGTGGACTATCGTCGGATGGAGTCTGGTACCACAGCAAACCGTTGTCTTCCGAATAGCAGCGATACTGTTTCTTCTGTTGTTGCCTGGCTTTCGCCTGCTGGCTATCTGCACGCCGCTGGATTGCTGTAAAAATCGCTTTTGCTTCTCGATCTCTCTTGTACGCTTTTTTGATCTTGGCTATCAACTCGCTGTCAGTGGTCACCTCGCTGACTGCTAAACTAAAGGACGCATCATTGAAGCTGGTCACACTCAAGTCATGAACGTACTTCGTCTCCGGTTGCAAGTCTGGTCTTCGGCTAAGCGCGTCTGCGATTCCGTTCTTCGCACCTGGAAGGTATGAGAACGTTGGCTGATACTCCGCGAGGATATCGTACCAGCGCGCGAGACGACGGTTCGCCATCTTTTGAGTAAAGAGACCTTCAAGACTCTTGTGATCCGTTTCCACGATTGGTGGCTTGTCCAAGCAGTAAATACGGAAAGCTGCCAGCGCGTGAACAATTACCAGAAGTTCTTGCTGCTGCGTCGGGTAATTGAGTTCCGCTGATTTCATCTTTCTACTGGTGTAAGCAATGGGTAGCTCAACACCATCGACAACCTGGAACAGGACTCCCCCGACTGCAAACTTGCTAGCATCCGTACGCAAATGCATAGGCTGATTGAAATCGGGCAAGTGCAACACTGGTGGATTGCACAGCCGTTTCTTCAGCTCCTTGAAGTTCTTCGACTGCTCTTCGTCGAAACGAATCTTCGCATTGCGCTTGGACTTCTTCTTGAGCAAAGTAAACATACTTGCTGTCAGTTTCGCGTAGTCTGGGCAGAATCGTTGGACGTATCCAGTAAAGCCGAGGAAGCTGTGAAGCTCCTCTTACGCTCTTGGAATTGGCCAGTCCTTGATGGTCTGCACCTTATCTGGATCCATCCGCACGCCGTTTCTCCCAACAAAATCTCCAAGGCATGGAATCTCGTCGGCACA